TTTTACTCTTATGTGGATCCTGAGAAACTAACAGAAACCCATGGGGGAGGGGAAGGAAAAAAAAAAAGAGGTTAGAGTGGAAGAGAGCCAAAGCATAAGAGACTCTTAAAACTGAGAACAAACTGAGGGTTGATGGGGGGTGGGGGGCGGGGCAGGGTGGGTGATGGGTATTGAGGAGGGCACCTTTTGGGATGAGCACTGGGTGTTGTATGGAAACCAATTTGACAATAAACTTCATATATTGAAAAAACATTTTTTAAAAAATTAAAAAAAAAACTGATGGCAGCTGAAAAACATAAGTAAATGTGGCACAGGGGAAATGAAAATTGTTGCTTAATATATTGCCATCAGTTAAAAAAATTTTGCTAACACAATCTCATTTATAAAATAAGGATGTAGGGGCGCCTGGGTGGCGCAGTCGGTTAAGCATCCGACTTCAGCCAGGTCGCGATCTCGCGGTCCGTGAGTTCGAGCCCCGCGTCAGGCTCTGGGCTGATGGCTCAGAGCCTGGAGCCTGTTTCCGATTCTGTGTCTCCCTCTCTCTCTGCTCCTCCCCCGTTCATGCTCTGTCTCTCTCTGTCCCAAAAATAAATAAAACGTGAAAAAAAATTTAAAAAAAAAATAAAATAAAATAAAATAAGGATGTAAAACAAAGATAAAATAGAACATGTAGAGGTATGTGTTTGTGTGTGAGAGATTGTGAGATGGCAGAGTTGAATAACGGAAGCACAGTTGGGAACAGCACAAAAAAGAGAGACTGCTGAAACACAGTGATGCATTTGTAGGACAGTGTTGAAGGAAAAATAAAAGAAGAGAGCAAAGATTTTCAACTGCTCAAAATTAAAAGATAAAACCCTGCATGGTTTCATCATCCATAGTCTATTTACCTGAGTTGTATATAAACATTCCATTAACCCCGGCCTGCAAAAGTACACAATCTTACTGCTTTGTCTTGCTTACAGTCATTCATTACTTACCCATATATTGGATATATTGTTGTTACTTCTTTTTTCTTTAAAGATATAGTAAATGGGGTGCCTGGGTGGCTTAGTTGGTTAAGCATCCAACTCTAGGTTTCAGCTCAAGTCAGGATCTCAAAGTTTCATGAATTTGAGTCCCATATTGGGCTCCGTGCTGACAGTGTGGATACTGCTTGGGATTCTCTGTCTCCCTCTCTCTCTGCTCCTCACCTACTCACACTGTCTCTGTCTCTCAAAATAATGAAACTTAAAAAAAATAAAGATATAGTAAATAAAGTTTTATAAAGTCACAAAACACATATATATTTATTTTTACCTTAATTTGTGTTTCTAATTATTACCATAAACATTTTAATAGGAAAAATTCAATAGAAAGGATATTTATTACTTAGAAAGTAATGAAAAACGAATACAAAACTGGTAAAAATTTGATATAAAAACAAAAATAATTTAGAAGAGATATTGAAGATGTACCAAAAGCAGCAAATGCCCTGAAAGAGAAAATTTACTAGAAGTTTATAAATTAATAAATTTAAATCTTGAGTTTTCAAATTTCTGAAGCTCAGGATAATTGATAATCAAACCATCAAAACATATACACATCATTTTAAGGAACACTCAAGTGAAAAAAATCAGAGCAACTATTAAGTATAATAATATATGGGGAAAATTCTCCATACTAATATATATTTTTTCAAGGAGCTAAAGTGTAATGAATATTAGACACAATTTATATTTCAGACTCTAGAATTTTATAATGGAAAGTAAACATTTTCATGCTCCCATAAAACATTCATAATATTGACAATTATTTAGACTAAAGAAAATCTTAGTTATAAAAATGTTTAAAATTAAGATAATACTTTTTGGTCATAATGAGGTAAGAGTTGAAATTAATTTAGGAGGAACACTCCATGGAAATTGAAAAACTTAGCTCCCGGATGTTATAATTAAATTAACACACCTAAAAACACCACACACTCTCTAAGTTTCAAGGTAAACTCAAAACTCAAATGGTAGAATATATAGGGGAGAAAAGGGAGAAAACACTGTAACTAGAACCTAATAGCTATAAAGTAAAATCCATAGCTTGAATAAGTATATTGTTAAACAAGACAATTAGAATAAATGTTAATTTTCCTCTAAAGGAATTTAAAAATGAATATAAAATAAATCTACAGAAGTAGAAGAAGGTATTAGCTGAAGTGAAAAAAGAATAAAACAGTACAAAATGATGAATACATTAAGGTGTTTTCTTAGTGGGGCAAGAATATAACCTCAAAACCAAGGGGAAAAGTTATGAAACCACAAGATAAATGTCAAAGTGGTCATATGTCAGAGAGGAACCTAAAGGAATGATAAAATAAGTTTTTAGGAAACTGTATGCAATTTAAGGAATCTGGATAAAATGAGTAATTTTAATATATAAATCAGCAAAGAGCTTCACAGAAGAAATAGTCATCAAAATAGACCAGGCCCCCAAATTTTTGTCATGCAATTCTATCATAACTTAAGAAAGAGGAAACTAATATCATGTAACTAAATCTGAAGAAGGGTATTTCCTAGGCATTGTAGAGGGATGTTTGTGTCATGGACCTCTTTTGTAATTTGGATAGCTACTGAGATTTTATTTTTCTTAAATTTAAAATATATTTCATAAGATTATTAAAAGCAATTATGCTGAAATATAAATATATTACTTTGTAAAAATGTGATATAGAAGTTATATGTTGCTCAGTACATTACATTAATACATCACATCTAATTCAGTAACCACTGTTGTTTTAATAGAGCTAACCATAATTTAAAATATGTATAATATGTATGATTTCATATGAAACTATGTGCAACATCCACTAGTGACCAAGTCAAGTTATAGTTAATACTCCTACCTATTACTGTCTACTTTCATGATGAAAGGAAATACTAAATTTCAGGTTAGTGGAAATACAGATGTCATTTTTTTTTCCAATCAAGTTTATGGGCTCTCTGATATCTTAATGTAAGGTTTTTTTTTTTTTTTACATCATAGAAATAAAATAAAAGTTTTCAATTTTTAAGATATTAGCAGTAAGAGTTATATCCAAAGACAATATAGAGGGTCTGTAAGATTATCCACTAATAAAATAGCAATAAGAAATCTAAATAAGCATTATCTATCATAGTGCCTGTCATTAAGGACATACTGTACATACTGTATCAATATGGAAAAATTGCTGTGAGTTGCAGAACATGTGTGGAATATGTGTGTAAAATAATAATGCAAACACATATTCATATATATGTGAATAATTCATATATACTTATATAGATATATATTCATATAGATATATGACTAGCTCTGAAAGTAGACACACTGTGAGGGAAAATGAGAACCTGGTGACTGGGGCATTAAGAGACAAAGTGAGGCAGATTACTGTTTTCAGGAGTTTAATTGGTCAAATGTTGATTCTAATTGATAGCACCAAATTGAAGATGGTTAGGAGTGCTTCACCCAGAAGCTCAAGAGAAGTTTTTATATAAGCAAAGCAAGGAAAGTATCTGATTAGCTATAATGTAAGAAGTTGCTTTATTTGGGAGAACCTAGTTAGCTATTTGTGATTGGTTGTACTTAAATTTCTCGGTTTTCTTTTCTCAGTTTCAGGTGCATTGATTCTGGCTTAGGTTTTGGTTTGCATGCATAGGGTACCAAAGCATTAGATCCTCCTCAGTCGAGTGGCTTCTTTATTTAATTACTTAAACAGGGAGGTGAGAGTAGACGACTTACATTCGTTGGGTACCTTTTTTACCTCTGTATTTGTAAAATGTCTAAATGTTACTACTTTAAAAGTTACAAACAAACAAACAATGAAAAAGCAAGCAAAACATAAATGAAATCATACTAGACATTCTTCACTTTAAACAAGGAATTGTCCCAATTATTGGAAACTATTAAGCAAATAGTTTAGATATACTTTATACATACATTAAATATACATACTTTAAATATAGAGTTATATATAAATTATATATAAAATGTATATGTATATATTATATATATACACTTCAGATAAACTTTATACTTTTAAAGTGCTTGAATACTTTCTTTCACTATGCTAAAACTTACGTAGATATAACATAGATATAATTCTCAAGCTAACTGATAATACTAGGGCATGTAGAATGGACATTTCTGAAAAGGATAAGTAGTCTAAAATTTTTTAAGTTTCCATCAACTATGTATTTGACAGCCCAATGATAGCTGAGAGCGTGGCCTTGGCATATGTAAATATCTCCACATGTCACTTTTCTTCAAGCCTACAGATTTCAGGCTAGTGACAGTATTAGGCAGCTGGACTTGTTGATAGCTTTCTGACAAAAATAAAACACGGCAAAGTACATGTTTCTTCTGTGTCTGTTCTGTCCAAGCCCAGCGTGTCACACTGCACAGGAAAGATGCTGCTCGGCTTTGGATTATGTTCATAATCATGAGTTTACAGGTGTCTGGAATATAGTATTACAGTGAAAAACCAATGGAAGTAATAGCACACACCTTGATTTTCTTCTGCTTAATAGTAGAAAATTAACTGCTCTAGCATGAGCCAAATTTCATTGAATGCCCTATTATTCCTTTTTCTTTAGCAGAAAAATATGCCAAAGGGTTCATTAGCATCCTTTACCACTTTAAGCAGTAGACTAGTCCAACAGATACACTTTTATATCCGAGCTGTGCACTACATAGGTGTGAACCACTTCAAAAATTACTGAAACTCTGTAAGCCTCAATAATCTCCTGTCTAAAATAAGGATAATTATATGTACCTCATGTTGTGGTAATGAGAATTAAATGATATAATGTACATAATCTACTTAATAGAGTGGCTGACACATGAGCTTTCAAGAAATGAACTATGTAGATAGAAGAATGTATTCTACCCTCAGACCAACTGAATTTAAATCCTTGCTTCACTGCTTAACTAACTGTGTCACCATTGTTCAATTGGTTAACCTTTCACTTACTCAGTTTGCTTTTCTGTTACAGGCACAAAAAAAGGATATACTTCCGGGGACTGTTGAAAAAATTAGAGATTACACACACACACACGTGTGCACACATACACACAATGATTGAAGCAAGGTCTGCAACAGTAAGTACTAACTAAATGCTATCGTTATACCTTAAAGTACAATATTAAATTCTCAATTCATGTTTCCATTCTATGGGTATTTGATTCAAACTTTTGACTTATCAGTCCCACAACAAAGACTCAAATAAATTTAAGAAGTTTCCAACTATTGCCAAAATTTAAGCAGTTAAAATAGTTTTCTAATTATTGCTAAAATTTAAGAACAAAGTAAATAAATTTAAGATTGAAGAATACTAGAGACTTATAGAGATTACAAACATAGTTCTTCAGAAAAAGTTAGTTGTTATTGCCAATATTATTTTTGCTATCATATAAAATATTTACCTGAGAAATCCAGTAAAGAAAATTCTTCCAAACTCAGGTTCACTAAAGAGAAGTGATATAGTATAATATCAATAACTGAGTGGTTTTCCATCACATAATTAATTAATGTGTATTTTCGCCAAACCCCCAAAAATATACTTAGGTTTCTTAATATTGTTGCTATCATTCTTATCACTCAACAAATTTTATATTATAATTATGTTAAAATTCCATATTGCACATAAATGAAATACCTCATATTATTCATGTCCTCACCGTAAAGGACAGTTGTGTACTTTAAGAGAGCCTAACTAAAGAAATAATCACTTTGCAAAGTTCCCAAAATAAGTGCTACAACTGAGTATGTTATGCTTCTTATAGATTATTTTTATATTTTAAAATAACAGAAATAAAAACCTTATTTACAACAGAGTCCTCACCAATTGCATGGGGAGGTGTGCAGTTGGGATGACCCTGAAGCGTTTTCCATGCTGAGAAAGGAGGCCAGGCCTCTTGGCAGCTCTCCCTCATGTTGACTAGCTACTTAATGTGGGCCTCCACAGATGAAGGGCATATAACCGTGATCAAGGCCGCTCCCATTAGACAAGGACAATTCATAAGGACACCTGGAAGCTGAAAGAATGATATCTAGATCTTGAAGCATGATTCTGGAGGCACACAAAGAGCATTCACGTTGTGGAATTTATCTGTTCAGCATATGTACCCCAACTGTGATAGGCATAGTACCTAAAACAGTAGGCTGCCAAAGCAATTCTACAAGAGGTGGCATTAATTTTGATGTTGGGCAGCAAGTAATAAGAAAGCCATTAGAGGTGGCACAAAATCATGTCATTCTGTGTTCAAACACACAGCAAAATTTCATCCACTATAACTTACATAGCAGATGTTTGACTATCATTCTGAGGGGGAAGTTTGAAAATGGTAAATAGGCAGTAGATGTTGTCTGTTATTTGGATGGATATTGGAATATATAGGATGGACTCAGGAAGGGACTTGCCAGTTTTTAAGCAGGAATAAAGATAATGATGACAATCTAGAATATGACGTTTTTACAGGATTGAAGAATCTAAGAAACTCTAGATCCTAAATCATAACAAATGGAATTCCAGGAAGATGTCTATAGACAAAAATCCAGTAAAACTTTTTTTTCTTTAAATATGTATTTAATGTGTTGTGAGTTAACATATAGTGTAATACTGTTTTGGGGAGTAGACTTTAGTGATTCATCATTTACCTATAACACCCAGTGCTCAACATGACAAGTACCCTCCTTTATGTCCATCACTCATTTAGCCCATCCCCCGTGAACCTCCCTCCATCAACGCTCACTTTGTTCTCTATCATACAGAGTCTCTTATGGTTTGTTTCCCTTTCTCTTTTTTTCCCCTGCGCATATGTCCCTCTGTTTTGTTTCTTAAATTCCACATATGAGTGAAATCTATGTTATTTGTCCTTTTCTGACTGACTTATTTCACTTACCATAATACATTCTAATTCTATCCACATTCTTGCAAATGGCAAGATTTCAATCTTTTTAATGGCTGAGTAACATTCCATTATATACCCCATCTTCTTTATCCATTCATCAGTCGATGGACATTTGGGTTCTTTCCATAGTTTGGCTGTTGTTGATAAGGCTAATATAAACATTGTGGTAAATGTACCCCTTGTTTTAAAAACTTCTAATTAAAGTAAATATTTTAGTGCAAAATTCTGACTAAGAGTGTGTTGAGTGTTAGGAACAAATTGAACAACTTAATCAGAATCTATGAACTTTTTGAGAAAAAAAGCATTACCAATACTTTTGATTAAAAATGTAATTGTATTAAGGATAATGTTCTCTTACTCTACTTGAACAGGTGACAAGTTGCTAAACTATACTGTCCTTCAAGAGTGACCTAATCTCCAACCGCCAATAATAGGTTATAGATAGGTAGCTTGCTTTTATTGCAGAATTTTGGTAATAGGAAAATATTGAAAACAAACTGGTTTAATAAAATATAAAATATGTTTAAATATTAAATGTTAGGGGGCAGTTGAAAAATAAGACACCTCTTGTAAGAAAGGGCCTGGGTGGCTTAGTCAGTTAAATGACCGACTCTTGATTTTGGCTCAGGTCATGATCTCACAGTTCATGAGTTCAAGCCCTGTGTTGGGCTCTGCACTGTGTCAGTGCAGAGGCTGCCTGGAAGTGTCTCTCGCTCTGTCTCTGCCGCTGCCCACATGCTCTCTCTCTCTCTCTCAAAATAAATAAATAAACTTATTTTTTTTAAGAAAGGACATAAAAAGTCACCAAAATAAATTTTTCAATAAAAATATCAAGATGCTATTTGTTTACTAAAAATAATTCCGTGCTTTCTTCTTTAATATGTTCTTTAAATTTTGTTGGATAGCAAATTTTTAGATAACATAAGCCTATAATCCATGCTTTTAAATAAGTAAATAATAATAAGCTATCACACATTCAAAAATTACATTAGTACATTTATTACTTTAAAATCAATTTCACTTCACTCTTTTTAATCTATATATGCATATCATTAAACTGTGAGCCTGTAGTATATTTTTTTAAAAATTTTAAAATGTTTTTATTTATTTTTGAAACAGAGACAGAGCATGAGCAGGGGAGGGGCAGAGAGAGAGGGAGACACAGAATCCGAAGCAGGCTCTAGGCTCTGAGCTGTCAGAACAGAGCCTGATGCGGGGCTCGAACTCAGGGACTGTGAGATCATGACCTGAGCCGAAGTCAGACACTTAACCGACAGAGCCACCCAGGCACCCCTAGCCTATAGCATATTTTATGTACTGTTCATCTGTAAGAACAGTGGTCTAACCCCAAAAAAGTTCACTTGATAAGTCAAACTTGAGTTAAAATTTCATTTTTAGTATTTGAATGAAGCCTACTTACTAAATCTTTCTTTTTTTTCACACCCTGTTACTCATGGGTTTGTAAAAGTAAGCTTTTAGACTGAGATAGGTTTTTTTTTATTTATATATGAAATTTATTGTCAAATTGGTTTCCATACAACACCCAGTGCTCATCCCAAAAGGTGCCCTCCTCGATACCCATCACCCACCCTCTCCTCCCTCCCACCCCCCATCAACCCTCAGTTTGCTCTCAGTTCTCAACAGTCTCTTATGCTTTGGCTCTCTCCCACTCTAACCTCTTTTTTTTTTTTTTCCTTCCCCTCCCCCATGGGTTCCTGTTAAGTTTCTCAGGATCCACATAAGAGTGAAACCATATGGTATCTGTCTTTCTCTGTATGGCTTATTTCACTTAGCATCACACTCTCCAGTTCCATCCACGTTGCTACAAAAGGCCAGATTTCATTTTTTCTCATTGCCACGTAGTATTCCATAGTGTATATAAACCACAATTTCTTTATCGATTCATCAGTTGATGGACATTTAGGCTCTTTCCATAATTTGGCTATTGTTGAGAGTGCTGCTATGAACATTGGGGTACAAGTGCCCCTATGCATCAGTACTCCTGTGTCCCTTGGATAAATTCCTAGCAGTGCTATTGCTGGGTCATAGGGTAGGTCTATTTTTAATTTTCTGAGGAACCTCCACACTGCTTTCCAGAGCGGCTGCACCAGTTTGCATTCCCACCAACAGTGCAAGAGGGTTCCCGTTTCTCCACATCCTCTCCAGCATCTAGAGTCTCCTGATTTGTTCATTTTGGCCACTCTGACTGGCGTGAGGTGATACCTGAGTGTGGTTTTGATTTGTATTTCCCTGATAAGGAGCGACGCTGAACATCTTTTCATGTGCCTGTTGGCCATCCGGATGTCTTCTTTAGAGAAGTGTCTATTCATGTTTTCTGCCCATTTCTTCACTGGGTTATTTGCTTTTCGGGTGTGGAGTTTGGTGAGCTCTTTATAGATTTTGGATACTAGCCCTTTGTCCGATATGTCATTTGCAAATATCTTTTCCCATTCCGTTGGTTGCCTTTTAGTTTTGTTGGTTGTTTCCTTTACTGTGCAGAAGCTTTTTATCTTCATAAGGTCCCAGTAATTCACTTTTGCTTTTAATTCCCTTGCCTTTGGGGATGTGTCGAGTAAGAGATTGCTACGGCTGAGGTCAGAGAGGTCTTTTCCTGCTTTCTCCTCTAGAGTTTTGATGGTTTCCTGTCTCACATTCAGGTCCTTTATCCATTTGGAGTTTATTTTTGTGAATGGTGTGAGAAAGTGGTCTAGTTTCAACCTTCTGCATGTTGCTGTCCAGTTCTCCCAGCACCATTTGTTAAAGAGACTGTCTTTTTTCCATTGGATGTTCTTTCCTGCTTTGTCAAAGATGAGTTGGCCATACGTTTGTGGGTCTAGTTCTGGGGTTTCTATTCTAGTCCATTGGTCTATGTGTCTGTTTTTGTGCCAATACCATGCTGTCTTGATGATGACAGCTTTGTAGTAGAGGCTAAAGTCTGGGATTGTGATGCTTCCTGCTTTGGTCTTCTTCTTCAAAATTACTTTGGCTATTCAGGGCCTTTTGTGGTTCCATATGAATTTTAGGATGGCTTGTTCTAGTTTCGAGAAGAATGCTGGTGCAATTTTGATTGGGATTGCATTGAATGTGTAGATAGCTTTGGGTAGTATTGACATTTTGACAATATTTATTCTTCCAATCCATGAGCAGGGAATGTCTTTCCATTTCTTTAAATCTTCTTCA